CTCAGATCTCTTCCGGTAGTATGATCATATGCCCATATAGTTGCAAGTACTGTTTCTTAATCTAGGGAAGGGGCCGGCTCACTAGTGAGGATATTTCGAATTACCGTGTTCTGATGCTTGTTTACCTCGTCACATTAACGATCCATTAAAGGAACTTCGTTTATGCCACTTGTATCAATGATCTTACTCTGTCGGTAGTATTGAAGATGCATAATCATATAGGAGGACAGACTTTACTATACTTATTTCAGCAGAATATAAAGATTCAATTATTTTTCCTGAGCCACACTTTTGTAAATTCATTCGTTTTATTCAGAATGAGTAACGACCAAGGTAAGGAATTCTCTCATGAGGCACAATATATGCTCTGTAACAGCTAGGATGGCTTTGAAGTCTTGTCATAGCCTCTAAAATGGCCTCTTAACATGGGAGTAGGTCTGTAGTTCTCCATTTCTTTTTAATCCAGTCAGCGTCGTCCAGAGTTTCTAACGAATGTATGTCATGCTTGTGCCTCTTAGCCCTGCCCACATAACGTGAGGGAACGATAATAAAATAGTACTTGTGCCCAATGATGAATAACACAATCACTTCATTTTTTGGATAAGCTGCATTGATTACTTTATCTACTAAATATGCTCACTGGTTCTATGCTAAATAGTATTTAAAAGCGCAAACAGTTTCTCTCCAGTTCCCATTAACTTTTAAATGATTAGTATTTATTTCGAACCGCTGACAAGGTTTGCACTGTCTGTCCCCTTTACCTACGTCAATCACAGTGGACAATGTCATCATTTATCTCCATATAAATCTTTCTACTTTTTTCATTCCATTAACTATGGAATCAGAAGTCTGGCTAATAATTGCTAACTTAAGTTGATTTCTGATTTCAACCATGTTAACCTTTAAACTTCACTTCAGATGGGTGTGACGACCGCTCAAGTTTTCGCGGAGCCGGAAATGTTGGAAGCTTGTGTTCGAGACGTTTTAAGCCGTACTGCTGCAAGGTAATTGTCACATATGTGGAAATGATCAACTGAACTGGTAAATTAGACCTACCCCTGCCTGATGTTTGCAGGAAGAGCTTACTTATTTTAATTACTTATTCTTTCTGTCATTTAGACGCTTAGGTGAATGGTTTATGAAATGACAAAAATTATATATGTTTGGTTTATGGCGAAGTCTTTAAAATGCCTTTATCCAAGAGTGGGTCGAAAGGCTGATGATGATGTATGGTTAGATGAGTTTTCAACTTGACTATAAGGAGCAAATTGGATTTTAGTAACGACCGGGATATTCTTGTTAGAGATGCAGGTGGTACCTGTTCGTTTTGTCATATACCAGGACCGGTCTCGAGAACACAGTTATCGTCAACTCCAGATGTGAATATTGCCAAGTTTGAAGAAAGCAGCAGATTACACATTATAGCTGGTAGCTAATCGTAGATACAACCATCTAAAAATGTCGCAGTTTTGACTCATGACATTGTAAGGGATACTATTGCACGCGAAGAATTCCGTAAAAGAGCGGTGCCACAAAGGCGCTCATC